TCCCCCTGAGCTCGCCCCCAGCCGTTCCCCTTCCCGGGAAACCCCCCGTCTCCTGGGTTCCCGTCTCACACCCCCCAGCTCCCGCACCAGCCGATTCTGGAACAGGAGCAGCTGGGAGATACAGAAGATAAGAACCAGGAGCACGAGGAGCTGGGAGAGGGCACTAGGGTTTCCACGCTGTCGGGACACTGAAGGGAGCCACGCCTCCCATGCCTCTCAGAGACGCGATCTGCGAGCCACACCTTAATCCCGTTAGTGGGCACTGCATCGGGACTCGGCCCATCTCAACTGAAGGGACTTCTCAAAGCCACCGAATGGCTGCACAGCCACTGCCCGGAGGCGTCCAGACGGGATGCAATGCTGGCGATCTGAAGAGCTCAGAAAGCCTATGCAGAGGCTCCGCAGTCCCCCGTTAACTGCCTGAGCTCACCGTGCCGTGCTCTATGCTGTGTGCAGTCACACTGGTTCTGCAACGAGGCCAGAAGGGACACCAGGAAGGCGGGGCCATCGTCCTCCTGGGCCAGCAGTCCGGCCAATGCGCTCAGCAGGATTTCAACCACTCCCCAGCAATGCAAGCCGCTCTGTGGGTCCCAAACCACAATATGGGACCTGCCACAGGTCAGGGTTACTCAGGATCAGATGAACTAGACACAGGGTCTCGGAGCAGCTAAGCCAGGAGATACGAAACACGGGGGAAAGTGAAGGCCCAGTCTCTCACCAGCAAAGAGCCCCTCCTGCACTCCTGGCCCTGCCTTCACACGTGCTGTCAGCACATGGCAGAGTCCACCGTGAAGCCCACCACACATGGAAGGCCTGGAAGCTGTGAGGGTCCAAGGTGGACTCTTAGGAGGGTTGTTTTAGATTAAAAAGAAAAAGAGAAGTCCCACACCCAACACATCATGAAAACAAATGCGGAAGACGGAATCCAAGTTACTCTTCCCCTAAGCCCGTGCAGCACAGGCTGGGCCCTGCGCCCGGGAGCCCGAGGTCTTACCAGTAGGCCAGGGAGGGGTGCTCCTTCAGGGCTTGGGTGGGCAGTGCTGGCAGCTTCTTCAGGTCACTCCTCACGACCTCATTGCTGAAAGAGAGAAGGCCAGAAAAGTCACTCCGAGGAACCCACTGGGCGACTGCTGAGACCTGAGGCTGCCAGGTCGGGAGCCACAGCCAGTCCCTGCCTACTGCAGAGTGGTGGGAGGAAGGGCCGCTGTCCTTCTATTTATTTACTTAATACAGATGGGAAGGACCTGAGGGAACCAGGGAAGAATGCTCAGAGGGCTCGAGCCCCCACAGGGGCCCAGAGTGGCTCCTCCGGGTCCCCATGGGGGAGGGCCTGCCCGGTCCCTGCTTCCTCGGGGTGGTGTCTGCCTTGCCAGTACACACAAAGTGGTAGTTTTCTTGGCTTAGGTTGACCGCACGCTGAAAAGTGTTTGCTGAAATATGATAAATAAAGAGCCTTTGCTCTCGACAAGGCCTGGAAACTACCCAGAAAGCGTGGAGTCGGGCGATCTCATGCATCTGGCCCTGGACTCGGGTCTCTTTTTCCCAGAGCTGTATGTGCTCAGGCTTGCAAGACACTAGGCTCCCCTGGTCTAACCAAGCTTCCTCACGTGCTGAACACTCACCCCACACTCTCCCTCTGTGCCCCTACACCGGCCCCACCGAAAGCCTCAACGCCTCAGCTGGGCGCCCAGGCTCATTTCCTGGAGCCCGGCGTTAGACCCACGGCCCCAGCCCGAGCTATCGGCAGCTTCTGTGTTGCTCCTACAGAGCAAGGCAAATACTGGCGACCAGGACACAGAGCAGCGCTGTCCAGCAGAGCAGTGAGCTAGATCGATAAACAAATGTGAAGGAAGCAACAGCCCAAACGCAGAGTTCTGGACAGCAAACCCCCCACGCCACACCGCATGCCTCAGTGGAGGTTACCGCTGGTGACAGCGGAGCCAGCTCTGCCTCTGGGATGCACCAATGCTTGGAGCTTACAGGTGGTGAGAGGACTGTGTGGCTCTGGCTAACACTACAGATGTCCCGGACAGGGCATTTTTCAAATGCAACTCAGAACAAGAACAGCGAAGTTTGTCCTAGCTTTGAACAACTGACCAGCGGAACAAGTCAACTCGGGACTGTTTGACTCAATGTCTTGACCATTACAATCCACGTGGCCAGACGAGGAAGTGGCACCAAAATCAGTAAGGTGTTCGTGGTGTACACTGGGGTACGGCGAGCACCACAGAGGATCTGAAAAGGGATGAGGTAGGGTGCAGAGGTGCACGCCTGTAACCCCAGCTACTCGGCAGGCCAGGGCAGAGCCCAAGCTCGAGGCCAGCCCTAGCAACTTAGTGAGACACTGTATTGAAGTAAAGTTTTAAAAGTGCTGGGAGTGGAGCTCAGCGGTAGTGCCCTTGCCTAGCATGTGCGAGGCTCTGAGTTCAGTCCCTCGTACTGCTAATAAAAACAGTGATACGACACAGCTCTTATGCAAAAGGCACTCATGGTTCAGCTGGGGAGGCAGCGATAGGTGTACACACAAAGGTACCTCTGGGCAGTGTTTGACGGTGTCAGTTCAAACAACAAATCTGAAAGTTCAGAGGAAAAAGGGGCCTTTGAAGGCTCTGGGGGATACCTCGCGTGAATAAAAAGAGAGGAACCTCACGTTTCTCCTCAGGCGAGCTCAGGACAAATCATGGACGTCCTAGGACTGACAAGACAGATCCGAATGAGGGGGGAACAGTCGGCTGAAAAGGCAGGTTGGGCCCAAAATTTTGAGGTCCTTCATTGCCAGGCTAGAGGATTTAAGCTGCTCCAGTGGGCAATGAATGGTCACTGGAATTTTCACACAATGAACGCCCGATGCTTCAGAAGGCTCAGTTCTCAAATATGACTAGGAGTTCCCCGTTATGACTGAGGCACAGTGGAAGCAAATATCCAGCTTGCCAAACGCTTGAGCCCATTGAGCACTGTAGGTTCCCTGAGCCCAGGGATTTGGTGCACAGGTCGTCAGTGCCTGGGAAGATGCCCTCAGTACAGACACTTACTGGATACACTTTCATGGGATGACACCGAGAAAAGGAGCTGGGAACTCTCTCTTTCACAGAGTTGAAACTTCAGTGTGGGTTTACCCCACCACCACTAAAGTGCATTTAGGGAAGGAACTAAAGGAGGAAGAGATCATCTTACCCACCAAAGCTCTTTTGTTGGCACACAAGTCCCCTGATGACAGCCACATGCTTGACTGCCTTGCTGAAGCCTGCAGTTATTCTGGGGTCCCCACCAGGGCAAGGTTACACAAAACACACAGAGAGAAACCACCGACCATGAAGCTCATCCACGTCCATTACACCCTGGAATGGATCCAGGCCCCTGACCTTCCCCAAACAAGCACGCAGTGGCGTTCTCTCTGTCTCCGGCTGTTTGTAAACACTGCAGGGACCTGGAGGCGTCTATTCCTGTCCAGCCAGCCAAACTCCAGGGCTGGAAGCCAGGAAGCTGCCCGGTGGGAGAGGTTGCGCTCTCTCTCCAGGGACGCGCAAGGCTGCACTGCCCAGCTTCCACTCTGGCTTTTGTGCCGATGGTTTCCCAGAGCCCTGCACTCATCTACGGAACACCCCATGCAGCTTGGCGCAGTCATGTCTTATTTTTAGAAACAAAGATTTCTGACAACCACTTGCTAAACGAGGAAGAAAAGTCCAGGTTTCTTATTTTGTTTACATTTGGCCAGATTTTATTTAAAAAATTTAGGTATAAGCCAGGTTTGGTGCTTTACACCTGTAATCCCAGCTACTCATGAGGCTGAGGCAGAAGAATTTTGAGTTTGAGGCCACCCTGGATAACTTGGTGAGACCCTGTCTCAAAATAAAACATTTCTCAAAGCTCAGCACTAGGGTGCTTGCCTAGAATGTACAAAGCCCTGGGTTCATCCCCAGGACCACAAACAGTAACTTTTCTTTGAGACAAGGTCTCATTATGCAGTTCAGACTAGCCTAGAACTTGCAGTGATCCTCCTGCGTTAGCCTCCTGAAGACTGGGATTACAGGCATGAGCCACCATGCACAGCATAGTTGTTTCGGTAGCTATTAACGTTGCTAGCATGAAAAGTGGTGCATCAGAGTTTCGGTAGTTTTTTGGGGGTGCTGAGATGATATGCCTGCCTTCTACTGCCTACAACATGAGATGTTAGAATGATCTACTGGGGAAAACAAAGATTTCTAACAAGACATCAAGTGGTCAATCTGCCACAATGAACAAAAACAAATTTAACCAAGCCAACTAACTGAAGGAGGCCAGAATTAAACTTGAGGACACGACTAGCAAAGGCCACAGTGTGCTGGCTTTTCAAATACTAGGAAATAACCTTTTCAGGAACTTCCCCTCAGTCAAATGAGATGTCTGGAATTTGTAGAAATCTGGGGCCAAGAGAATATGCTTAGTGTTCAAAAATTCTTCCTGAAGCCAGCTGGTTTCACCCGCATGGCATAAAAACAACTGAGTACTAAATCCAGAAAACTGTACGGAGGTAGCGTAAAGGAACAGGGTGGAACTCAGAGATGATGATGTACTGCTCCAGACTAACTTCGGTACTCGTGAATGTGTCACGAGGGAAATTTCTCCAGGGGAAGGCAGCTCCTAAGTAGAATGAGACTAGGTCCTCAGTCACTCACCCACAATTCCAAAATCCAGAAAGCTTCAGGAAACTCTTCTTAGCCTCAATTTGGGGTAAATCCTACCATTCCCATCGAGGCAATGTGTGGTCAACACTTCGCCCACTTGCAGCAGCATCGAGAGAAAAGGTCAAGAGCTGCCCACCCCTCCCACCATGCGCTTCCCAGGTGTAGGGGAGAAACAAAGCTTTCTGATGACGGGAGGCCCATGACACAGGCATCGCAGGGGCGTCCGTCCACCCCTGGGACTGCACTCTGTCTGTGAGCTGCTGCTGCTGCATTTAACACCTGCAGACAAACGGATGCACCTGGGCTTGCTCAGAGTTGTTTTGTTTTGCTCCAGTACAGGATTCAGGACTCTGCGCTTGTGTCAAGGGTGAATAAACCATGCTGGTTCACCAGCTCTGCAGAGAGCAAAGTTACAAACCCATTTAAGGGTTCTGGGTATTTCTGATGCCAATTGTTCAGTTGTATGTGTAACGACTTCTTTCTTGATTAGTGAGTCGGGTTTTCTTAGCATGAAAGGAAATTTTGTGAATTTCTAATTTAGCAGGAAATGTGCAAAATTCAAAACAAGTTATAAGAATTGTTTGTCAAGTCCATGATTTTGGGGAAAAAATGTATTCAAATAGCATGAGGAAAACAACTGGTTAATTTTCTGCAAAGTTGCCCTTTAGCTTGGGACTCTCAACTCTGAGAAACGGACATAACCATGAACGAACCTTTCAGCCATTCATAGAATTCACTCAAATATAATGCTGAGATTAAACAAATGTGTAACAAAAGTGATAAACCATCATAATACATTTCCTCCGTACTTTATATTTTACCATTCTCATAGGATCTGAAGAAAACCTTATCCGAAAACTTTTTAATACTTCAAAAATATGAATTACACACTTGAGAGCTCAGTCAAACGAACTTTTGTCCACAAAACAAAGCTTTCTTAATGATTTGTAACTTTTCCACTGGAGCACTGTGCTTCAAACGTCTAGACTTTGTTCCTTTTAAAGCTGCTGCTGGCATGAAAGATCCCAGCTGCTTCTGGGTCACACACGACCCTCAAGGTCGTTTCTAAATCACAGGAAAACTTCACACACTCCTCTTCCTGCTTCTCTTTGAAAAAATAAATTACTACATGAAAAATTATATTAGTTTCATTTCTTCCTGCAGAAAAGGTCTTCTTTGGGTTGATAGGCGTGTTTCTCATTAAGCACGTGACGCGACATTTTTCCTGGGAAGTTTTCAGGAGGGAAATCTGCAAGTTTAAGTGTGACACACCCTGGCAGAGTATGTAAGTTCTAGTCCACATGTTAACTACTCCTGATACACTGTTTTTTCACTAATTATCTAAAAGTCTCAGCAAACGTATTTCTCCCACTGTGTGATCTGCGACAGCAGTATTCTCTCCACTTAAACAATG